GATAATGAGTCGCGGGGTAAAGGCGCAGGGACAGACTCTTCGGCCACGAGCGCGATGATTTTCAGAAATTTTGAGGCGATGCACTCAAAGTGTAGTAGTCGTATGCCTCCTTTTTCAAAAGATTCTTGTTGTCCAAAAGGTAGATTGAAGAAATTCGTCACAATCAGGTATTGTAAGTCGCTCAGATCACGGAAATTTTCTACCAGCCACACACTCGCTCGATGAGGCTCAATTGGCCAGTGACAACTTCCTTCTTCCCCACATGGCATAGCACGCAAGGCACAGAACACACACTGCGGCGAGGTCCCTTCGCTGGCAGGGTGGGATGCGAGAACGAGTCCGCGGCTATCGATTGGCTGGCTGCGTTGGTTTAGGTATCGAACGGGGTCTCTGTGCTCGCCTCTCTCCACTGGACGCACTGGACGACGGCGGCTTACTAAGACACTCGATTGGATCAAGATAGAGATTCGGGTTGGCGGATATGCGGATAGACAGTCGACCGCACTAAAGGCTAATGTGACAGACCGGTGAAGAATCGGCGGCTAGCCCCGTCAGATGAGGCTGAATTGGCGCAGGGCAGTCGATGCGAAAGGACACCTAACCACTTTCCGACTACGGGCGACAGAGCTACGGATATGTGAGATGCGCCATGTCAGTGCTGCTATTTACGGGTGGGTACATACCGGGTGCCCCATCGTGAGGTGAGATTGACGGTAATAATTGCGATTGAAGGAATGACTCTGGGTGATATTAAATCGCCCATTTCCGCAGCCCGCCTACCTACCCAAAACAGCATCATGCCCTGCCCAGCCGTTGGGACGCTCAAACTTTCCCGAGATATCGCATTGCGGGCTGGTGTCAGGCGTGGGCCGAGGCATATCTGAGCCCCCGTCCCTTATGCTGGCGTAATTCAGAGTTCCTCCAGTTAGACATCAACTTCATGCGTCCATTGGGCCCAGACAGCTCGGGACCACCCGCAATGCTGGTGGCTGGTAAGGCGCACCATCTCAAACCAGGCGGGCATGGCAGGCTGTTCGAGTAGAGCAGACCAACGACTCTGGCCAAGTGACATGCGAACTGCTCAAATAGAACATGAGAAATTAGGACCATACTCCATGTTGCCAGCTAGCGAAGGAGCATCCAAAGCTCGGTCTTCAGTTCCAGAGCAGACCGGGATGAGGCTATGAGCAGTGGTGGTTTGGAAGCTCATCGAAGCACCTTGAATCTCCCCTCCTTCCATTCACTGCTAGCAGGTGTGGATCCCACCCCTGGGCCTCTGGACCGTGTCCCCGCACTTTGCCCAGCCAGTCAGCCACAGGCCAGAGCCCACTGTAAAAGGTACCAGAGCACTCTGCAAGGCATTGTATTGGTGTGCTGGTGCGGTGAGCAGCCTGGATTGCAGGTGAACACTGAAGGGCTACCCCGACGACCCCTGGAGTTGTAAGGTGAGGCGCTGCACGGCAAGTGCTGGTCCCCTAGCACCCTCCAGGCCCAGCAGGGTAGGTTCCCCAATTTTATTTCTTTGTGTGAGGTGTTCCCCGGTGCAGAGCAGTGCGATGCTTTACCCCGAGAGGTGATAGCTCTCTCCAGCTGGCCTTTTCTGGGTGCAGCTGCTTGCCGACACCTTACCCAAAAAAAAGGACACGTTGAGCACAACCCGTCCACGCCTGCACCACCCGCCTGCACCTGCACCTGCCTCTGCTGGCTCCTGCCTCACAGACAGATAATAAATCCGTCTCCCTTCGCTCGCCCCATTCCTTCTTCCGAAACTTATTTTCCTCTCCTTGGGAAATTCCTCACCAGATCAATTCTCCTCCGTACACCTGCGCGCTGGGAGCAACCGACTTTGTCATTCAATTGACAGTTCTTCCTACCCGTGCCTGCCTAAGCTACCAAGCTTGAGGTCTCTCATCTTTCCCATACCTTCTTCCACCTGGTCCAACGGTCTCTTCCATCATGAAGATTACAGCTGTCGCGGCCGCGGCTCTACTGGCTGGCAGTGCCTACGCCGATGATGCCCAGAAGGTTCTGAGCGACGACAAGGCCTCTACTGCCTCTGAGTCCGCTACCTCGGTCACTCCTCAGATCCCTACCTTCACCGTAAGCTGCTCCTCTCCATCCCTCTCACACTCTCCAGAACAGCACCTTTGTTGCGATCGCCCCTCACCGCCGCCGTGTGCCAGCATCTGGCCTGAAGGCACGAGCTCAATGCACGTGGCAGCGGTCCGGATGCCTGGGGAAGCTTCTCCGCACCTGACTCTTCATGCTTTCCAACCTCGCAAGTAGCAAACTGCTGACAATTGGTTTTCTGCAGCCTACCACCCTCAAGGCCCCCTTCCTTGAGCAGTTCACCGACGACTGGGAGCAGAGATGGTCTCCTTCCCACGCCAAGAAGGACAGCAAGGACGAGGAGGAATGGGCCTACGTTGGCGAGTGGGCTGTTGAGGAGCCCAAGGTCTACAAGGGCATGGAGGGCGACAAGGGTCTTGTTGTCAAGAACCCCGCTGCTCACCACGCCATCTCCGCCAAGTTCCCCAAGAAGATTGACAACAAGGGCAAGACTCTCGTTGTCCAGTACGAGGTCAAGCTTCAGAGTAAGTCTCATTCATGCCCCAACACTCGACAGCTCAATTTTGCGCGGTGCTGACCGAATTCCTCCTCCAGATGGCCTCGAGTGCGGTGGTGCTTACCTCAAGCTCCTCCGCGAGAACAAGGCTCTTCACTCCGAGGAGTTCTCCAACGCCACTCCCTATGTGATCATGTTTGGTCCTGATAAGTGCGGCCACACTAACAAGGTCCACTTCATCTTCAACCACAAGAACCCCAAGACTGGCGAGTACGAGGAGAAGCACCTCAACTCTCCCCCCACCGCTCGCATTGTCAAGACCACCGAGCTCTACACCCTTATTGTTCACCCCAATAACACCTACATCATCCAGCAGAACGGCGACCAGGTCAAGACTGGCTCCCTTCTCGAGGACTTCACCCCCGCTGTCAACCCTCCCAAGGAGATTGACGACGCCAAGGACACCAAGCCTGAGGACTGGGTTGACGAGGCCCGCATCGCTGACCCCGAGGCCAAGAAGCCCGAGGACTGGGATGAGGATGCCCCCTACGAGATTGTCGACGAGGAGGCCACCAAGCCCGAGGACTGGCTCGAGGAGGAGCCTCTCACCATTCCCGACCCTGAGGCCCAGAAGCCCGAGGACTGGGATGACGAGGAGGACGGTGACTGGATCGCCCCTACTGTCCCCAACCCCAAGTGCTCCGAGGCCTCTGGCTGCGGTCCCTGGAAGAAGCCCATGAAGAAGAACCCCGACTACAAGGGCAAGTGGACTGCCCCCTACATCGACAACCCTGCCTACAAGGGCGTCTGGGCTCCCCGCAAGATCAAGAACCCCGACTACTACGAGGACAAGACCCCTGCCAACTTCGAGCCCATGGGAGCTGTAAGTTTCATCTCAATCTGCTGGTTTTGAAATGACCATCACCTGCTAACACTTGCTGAACAGATTGGCTTCGAGATCTGGACCATGCAGAGCGACATCCTCTTCGACAACATCTACATTGGTCACTCCGTCGAGGATGCCGCCAAGCTTGCCGAGGAGTCCTTCAAGGAGAAGCACCCCATTGAGCAGCTCGCTGAGCTTTCTGACAAGCCCAAGGAGGCCGAGAAGCCCAAGTCCCCCAACGACCTGAAGTTCCTCGACGACCCCGTCCACTTCATCAAGGAGAAGCTTGACCTCTTCATCACCATCGCCCAGAAGGATCCCATCCAGGCCATCAAGTTCGTTCCTGAGGTTGCCGGTGGCATCGGTGCCCTTCTCGTTACCCTCATTGCCATCATTGTCGGTCTTGCCAGCTCTGGTGGCGCTCCCCCTGCCGCTAAGAAGGCCGCCGCCGACGCCAAGGACAAGGCGAAGGAGGTCAAGGACAAAGCCACCAAGGCCGTCGCTTCTGGCGCCGACACCGCCAAGGAGGCCACCAAGCGCAACACCAGAAGCTCCTCGTAAATGAACGTGGCTGAAGGTGGAAATGTGAATTAGCTCGCTTTCTCTTTCATACTCTCGGTGAAAAAAATGGGCCGTGGCATTTGTCTGAAGCAGAGCAACAGGGTCCTACTATCAGGAACGAAGAGGTATACGGATGCTGCTTTTTTTCAGTTAACCTCTCTCACTATATGTCTGTTTTGGTCATGAGAGGGACAGGCAGAGAAGCATGGCGTAGGTGTATTATAGCAACCTTAGCAAACCAAAAAAGGATTGACCAATGCTTTTGGATGTCATGCGCGTGGGAGAGAAAGGAGTGCAGTTGAATCTGGAATGTGTCCGCGAGTGATACGGATAAGGTAATCTGAATCCCGCGGGGAGATGGTGGCAGCCGGGATCTGTCGAGTTGTGTCGGGTCTGTATCAAGGTAGAGGCCCACCCGCCTGTTCTCCGCTTAAGAACGGGACAGTTGAATCCCATCGCGCCGTTTACGCTGGATACGCTACGCCTATGATTTTCCCCGCCGCTGGCTTGCGTGCACCTGACGCTCGGCCACTCGGTTTATGGCGGCATTTAGGCCGGCTTCGGCAGGAAAAGGAGGGAAGGGCAACCGTGGGAGCTTGGGGAACTGGGCAGGGATCCGAAGCAGCGTTATCATTACCCCACCCCAACCTTTCCCCACACTCTTGGAGCTCGCCGCGTTCCCTTGGACTTTATAAGGGACTACGATGTCGCTCGACTCCGGCCTCCGTCGACGTGGCTGATAATTGGTTCTGTCTAGTGCGCATTGCAGTAGGGACGAACTGACCGACAATTGTTGCACCATCTGTTTCTAGTCTGCCAGTTGTGTCCTCAAGCAGAGCTCCCCCTTCTTAACCTCTCTCTCCCTTTCCCCTCCCCCGCCTTCTTCTCTTCACAATGCGTCGAGCCATTTCTCGAGGCATCACTACCAGTGCCCGCCGTTCCTCTGGACTCTCTCTCGCCCGCTCTTCCATTCTCTCCTCACCAGCAATGGCTTCCAAGTCTGTTCCCGCCGTTGCGGCGAGGAGGATACACGCCACGGCGCAGCACCTCAACGCTGCCCTCGCCTCGACAGCCGAGTCGTACCCCAACACCCACGAGAAGATCGCGAAGCCCGAAGATACCCCCTACTTCATTGACAACCAGTTTGTGACGTCCAAGGCCACCGACTTCATCGACCTGCATGACCCCGCTACCAACAACCTCGTCACCCGCGTCCCGCAGATGACCACCGAGGAGCTCCAGGGCGCCGTTGCGTCTGCCGAGGCGGCGTTTCCCAAGTGGCGCGCCATGAGCGTTCTCGCCCGCCAGCAGATCATGTTCAAGTTTGTTGCGCTCATCCGTGAGAACTGGGACCGTCTCGCGGCGAGCATCACCCTCGAGCAGGGCAAGACCTTTGCCGACGCCAGGGGTGACGTTCTTCGTGGCCTGCAGGTCGCCGAGGCTGCCTGCGGTGCCCCGGAGCTCCTCAAGGGTGAGGTCTTGGAGGTTGCCAAGGACATGGAGACGAGAAGCTACCGCGAGCCATTGGGTGTCGTGGCTGCCATTTGCCCCTTTAGTGAGTTGCCTCTTGTGTAAGTGATGAGTGAAAGTGAAGCTAACTGTCCAGACTTCCCCGCCATGATTCCGCTTTGGTGCATCCCCATCGCCACCGTTACCGGCAACACCCTGATCCTCAAGCCTTCCGAGCGCGACCCCGGTGCGGCCATGATCCTCGCCGAGCTTTGCCAGAAGGCAGGTTTCCCCGAGGGCGTTGTCAACGTCGTCCACGGTGCCCACAAGACGGTGGACTTCATCCTCGAGGACCCCACTATTAAGGCTGTCAGCTTCGTCGGTGGTAACAAGGCCGGCGAGTACATCTTCAACAAGGGTTCCGCCCATGGCAAGCGTGTCCAGGCCAACCTGGGTGCCAAGAACCACGCCGCCGTCCTCCCCGACTGCAACAAGAACCAGTTCCTCAACGCCGTCGTCGGCGCTGCCTTTGGTGCCGCCGGCCAACGCTGCATGGCCCTCAGCACCCTCGTTATGGTTGGCGAGACCAAGGAGTGGCTTCCCGAGCTGGCCGAGATGGCCAAGAAGCTCAGCGTCAACGGTGGCTTCGAGGAGGGTGCCGATCTCGGCCCTGTCATCTCCCCCCAGAGCAAGCAGCGCATTGAGGGCCTGATCCAGAGCGCCGAGGATGAGGGTGCCACTATCCTGCTTGACGGCCGTGGCTTCAAGCCCGCAAAGTACCCCAACGGCAACTGGGTTGCTCCTACTATTATCTCCAACGTCACTCCTAACATGAAGTGCTACACCGAGGAGATCTTCGGACCCGTCTTGGTCTGCCTCAACGTCGAGACCCTCGACGATGCCATTGCTCTGATCAACAAGAACGAGTACGGCAACGGCACCGCCATCTTCACCCGCTCCGGTGCTACTGGCGAGACCTTCCGCCGCAACATCGAGGCTGGCCAGATTGGTATCAACGTGCCTATCCCCGTCCCTCTGCCCATGTTCTCTTTCACCGGTAACAAGAAGTCTATCGCCGGCGGCGGTGCCAACACCTTCTACGGAAAGCCCGGCATCAACTTCTACACTCAGCAGAAGACCGTCACCGCTCTGTGGTCCAGCGCCGACGCTGTGTCGCAGAAGGCCGACGTCTCCATGCCCACCCAATCGTAATCATGTTTTGGAGGGGTATCCGATGCCCGGTCCGGTTCCGATAACTTCCCGGTCGGCGGGGCCGGTCCCGCTTTTTGCGGGATGCTATCCGCAGCCGGGTGTCGAGCCGTCAATGGAGCGATAACGGTGTTTTTGGTTTCGAATTACACGGGCTAATGAAACTTATCTCAAGGGTTTTGATAAGTAACCGGCTGGACTGAAAAAGGAATGTCAGGTTGATCAAAAGAATGAGGCATTTAAAGCAGTTCACGCATGATAAATGAGGTTGAGAGTTATTGTATTTTCATAGTTGCCAAAATGAAGCATTTCGACATGAATATCTCTTGTTCTTACTTGTGAGGGTTGTAATAATTTGAACTATTGATGAGAGCTTGGTCGGTTGCGAGGATCGTCCAACAGCCAGTCTAGTTGGCCTGCGGCGCCTTAGTAATATGGATCCATATTTTTGGTCGTCTCATACGTGCATCTCAACTTCATGCAAGCTTCCAGAGCACCTGCTGCGACAACGTATCTTGACCTCTACTAGTCACCAAATTGACAATTTCAATGTCATATTGACCATCACCTGCATCGAATGGGCTGTAATTTCATTTCATAGCTTTGTAGTGTCCATTCAAGCTTCAGACTGTCTTCGTTCAAGACCCACCAATGGTCGCTCGTCTACGGCCCAATTGAAGAAAGGAGGAGGAGCTGTGGGAGCAGGCCACGATGTTTCAATTGACAGATCTTCCCGATACCCTCTTCCTCGACATAATCACCCACCTGAAGCCTCGCGAGATAGTCGTCCACCGCCGCGTCTCCCGTGCGTCCCACGCGGCTCTCACAAGACCAGACCTGTCCCAGGCGCTCCTCCACGTCTTCTTCCCCAGATCCTTAGAATGCCGCACTCTGAGATGCCAAATCTCGTCAGCAAACGAAAGCCAACCAGCCTTGGTGCCAAATGCGGAGCTGGCAACAGAACCAGATTCAGACTGGCCGTCCATCTTTGCCTCCGTGGCCCGCCGCTACTACAGCCTCACATCCGGCACGTACCACACTCTCACCACGATCCCGGTTCTCAAGGATGCGAAATGCTTTTACCCCTTCAACCCCTGGAATCGCACCCTCCGCCGCGATGAAATGACATTTCCCCTCCAGCTCCCAGACCGGAGGTGGACATGCTCCGATGGCATCATCATCTACCCCGCCCCCTCTTCTCCGCCCGTCTTCGAAGCCCTAGATCTCTCATCAAACAGCGAGACCACCATCCCCTTTGACTGGTCCTCCAAAATCGTCCGTCGCGTCCGACTCTCGCATCACATCTTGGTCATAGAGTGGGCAGAAGAGGACGGCTCCCACCCCTTGAACGACTCAGAAACAGCCCATCGCCACTTCGCGTCCGCCTTCACCGTGACCACCACCTCCTCGCCCCTCCACCCCTCGGCGTCGTCCCCACCCATCGTCGAGTTCCGCTCGGAGTGGAAGATCCACTACCTCGGCCTCCCCCTCTCCCCCTCCGAACGCCTCTTCTCGACGCACAACGCAACACACTACGCCCTCTACGCCCACCAGCCAACCCGCTCCCCCTGGGGCGAAGACACCCCCCTCGAGCGCCTCGTCGTGTGGTCTCTCAACGCCCCCTCAGCGTACAGACCCTCCCTCGACCCGTCCTCGACACACAAACCCACCACCGACGCCGGCCCGGAAATCGTCCTGCGCCTGACGAACGGCGACCTGGACCGCTGGGGCATCCGGCAACGCGACACCCCGCGCCTGATGCGCCTCGTCCTCGACACGACCCACGAAGCCCGCGGCGGCAACGTCGTGCTGCAGGAGGAGGACCACCAGTGGGCCGCGGGGCCGCAGTCCTCCGAGACCCCGCCGGCGCGCCACTTTCTCCGGAGCACGGGCGTCCCGCTCACGGCTCTTGGCCCGGCGTGGGTCGACGAGTGCGGCGCCGAGGGCGACGCGGAAAGGTCCTTCTGCCCCGCCTCCTCCTCCTCCAGCAGCAGCCCTGGACGAGCCACCGCCGCCCCCTGCTGGCGCCACGAGGAGTTCCCATACCTCACGGTTGCCGAGGTCGTCGACGAGGCGGCGGGGGTGCGGGTCTGCGGCAGGCGGTGCTTCGCAATGGAGACGGTCAGCGCGAGTGTGGATGGGTCCTTCTCTGCTGGTGGTGATGGTGGGACCACGACGGCCGAGGCAGAGGAGGACGGTGGAGACGCAGGCCGGGCAGAGGTGCAGTTCCCGGATGACATGTGGAGGGCCGTCATGTCGGGGGCGGCGCTGGCGGGCGATGAGAGGTGGGTTGTCGGCGAGGACGGTGCGGGGGACGTGAGCGTGGTACGATTCTGATAGGGCTGGGGTGGAAGGTCGTCTGATGCAAGGGAGCTGGCCTCAAAGCTAGCCGTTGCTTCGCCGTGCAGGGACATTGCCTTGCCATGAGCTTGCGGCAGGCAGCGAGCGGCACCGGCTTCTTCGGGCAAGGCCAGAGGAGTTCCCTCGGCATACTGCTGGACGGATCGGGAGCTGTTACTGTGGGTTTATGGGGAAAAGGGAGATGACAGCTCACCAGGGATCCCAAGCCATGGTGCCATGTTCTCACGATGATGGCCCCAGTCTGCGCGTGGCATCGTGGAGCTGAAAGGATGTGTGATCTGCAATGAAGATTCCGTCTATTGACATGTGTCTCTCTGCCTGGCTATGGTGGTCCATCCCAGAAAAAAGAAGAAAAAAAAAAGAGAATCGGCTGCCACAAAAATAAACCCAGAATGCCGTAAAGAGATACCAAGAGAAACCAAGCACGCTTTGCAGCAAAGTTGCTTACTGTTCCATCTCTACCCCCTTAGCTCCTGAAAATGCCGAGATAACAATCGCACCGCCGCCGCACTCCCCAACACCTGCTGGACAAGTTGGAAGGAGAGAGAAAGTGTGATGAGTTCATGCCTGCGTTGCTTTTTTCTTGATAATGCGTGATGCCCTGTTTCCAAGCACCTTGATTATGTGTCGTGATGTGAGATGTGTAGTATGATACAGAAACGCTTCAAAATAGTCGCCCCTGAGAACAGACTAGATATTAATGATTGGACATGTCTAGACTGCCATGGGGGTTGCTGTCGGGGTGGGGGAGGCGCCGCCGCTGGGCAGCTGAAGGAAGCCGTCGTAGTAAGTATCAAGCCAGCGGGCAGCCTCCTCGCCGGCGTCATCCATGCTCGAGTCCCACCTGCCGACGGATCCAACATAGCCGTCGGGTCGTACGTTGACGATGGCAACCTCGCCAGGGCCGAGGCTGCCGAGCCACTTGTTGGTGCAGAGCTGGCCGCGCGTGTCCTGTTCTGGGATGTCGTCCAGGTAGAACGTCCAGCGGCTGTCCTGCAGCAGGGCTGGCAGGTCTGAGATCTCCACATCGGCCTTCGGCATGGTGGCTGGGGGTTTGTCAGCGCAGGTACAACGAATGGATCCACGTGCAATTCAACTTACTAAGCAGTGCAAATGTGAAGAGATGGCTAACGGCTGTGTATCGCTCGGGTCGATAGTAAATATCCTCGGGAGATGGCAGCCTGGGCTGCGCGGCATATGACGCACTCGCAGACGCAGAGAGCTTGCTGATGAAGGAGTTGGCAGAGGCGATTGACTGGCAGAATGTCTCGAGGAAAGGGCTGGAAGCCTGAATATCCCACATCAAGAGATAGATGCGGAACTGGCCGAGCATTGGAATGTCGAGCTGGATATCAACGGGGTTGGAGTCGATGTAGCGGGTGACCTTGGCGGGAGGGAGCAAGCAACCGGGTCTGGCGTCTCCCATAACGAGGCCCTGTGGATCCGATCTGTTCAGAAGACTCTCCGCATACTCGGCACCGATACCAGAGATGAAACGGACGTTCGTCTTGAAGTTCTCCGCCAGTGCAACAGCGTCACCGCCGGCAATCTGGTTGGCATGCTCGTAGTCGAAGTTGACGAGGTCCACAGCGATCTTTCTTCGCTCCTCCTCGTAACTCTCGAGAAGAGCTTGCTTCGCAAGTCCGCGAATGGACAGGTTAAGCTTCCATGCCAAGTTCCAGGAGTCGTGCATCGAGGTGTTCATGCCCTGAGCAGACTTCGGGGAGTGCGTGTGACTGGCATCGCCGGCAAGGAAGGCCCTCAGGTGGGAGTCGCAGAACCGGCTGGCCACTCTCTGACCAATCTGGTAGCGACCAAACCACTCAATGTACTTCCAGTCAACCTCGAACGGAGCCATAATCTTCTTTGCGCGAGCCATGACGAACTCCTGACCAAGCTCTCGCTTGTCGGCCTTGGGGTTCGCCTTGAGCTCAATGTAGAAGCGGGTCATGTTCCTCTCTCTAGGAATAATCAGAATCGAGCCGTACTCCTGGGAGTAGACTAATGTCTTGGACCAGATATCAGGAAAGTCGGTAATCAGCTCGCCGTCAAGAACACCCCAGATGGCGGGCTGCGACAAACCAATGGCCCGCGCATCCGGGATGCTCTTACGAACCTTTGAGTGGGCACCGTCACCTGGATTTCGTTAGCTGCTTGCATCGGAAGAACAGAGTACTCTGCCAGACGTACATCCGATTAGGTACTGCGTCAAAATGGTCCGCCTGTCTTGGGTGACGTTCGTGCGACAATTGACCTGGAGGGGCCCGGCCTTGTTTTCCGGTACGCTGTAGGACTCGAACGCCGTGTTCCTCCGTACCTCAACTCCGCGCTTCTTCAGGTCATCTATGAAGATGCCCTCAACCATGCCCTGGTGGACCAAAAGAATGTAGGGGTCCAGCACGTCAATTATGGGAGGGTAGTGAATCTCGCGGCCCAGTCTGTGGAGAGGCTCATCGGCCGTGCTTCGCCAGAAGGAAATGTCGTAAACTCGGACGCCTCGTTGCAACAAAGGATCGGCCAGGCGCATCTGGCGGAAGGTCTCGATGGTCTTGGGCTGGAGTCCATCTGCTCTACGTGGGTGTTAGCGAACCGACACAGTCGGATGTGGTTGATGTGCGCTCTACCTTCCAACAGGCGTCTGATCGGCTCTGTCGTCAATGACCTCAACCTTGATACCCATACGGCCTAGGTTGGCCGCCAGCATGAGACCGGCAGGTCCAGCGCCGACAACGCATACCTGGGACTCTATAGGAGGCTCAGGCAAGCTTCGAAGGAGAGTGAGGGTATCTACGGTGGCGTCCAGAGCGTTAAGACGCCCGGCGGCGGTGCCGGCGTGCTGGTCGTCCATTGAACCGTCGGAATTGAGTATACCGGGTGCCATAGTTCGTACAGTGATATCACAGTCTCTTAGACAGGCGGGGTTGGCCTTTCGGGGACAGCAGGCAGGTAGTTGTGTGGAGGGCCCGAGGTAATTGGAGGGCTAACTATGCAAGGTCAAGGCAATGCAATGAGGCTTCGTAGTAGTCGGGTTGTCTAGACAAAGCCGCGCTCGCACGGCAGAAGTTGGCTTGTTGTTGGACGTGGAGGTGGACGTAAACGTGGGGTTCTCGTGTGCTATGCGCAGTTGAAGTAGGATACACCACACTGGCGCACACACACGCACACACGGCACACACTAAAGCGGGCGTGGAGCTCGAGCTCGAGGCGAGGGCGGAAACAGAGGTACGGCTCCAGCCGTTGAGCGGTGCAGTGGTGTTCTCGTCCGAGGATGTGTGTGTGTGCGACAGGAAAAATGTTGGGTCCGGAGGTGGTATTCGAGATATAATAGTACTGGGTAGGGTCGCTGGGTATGCAGCCAGACCAGGGCAGATCAGAAACCAGGACCAGAACAGTGGGTGCAGCAGAAGCAGCAGCAAACCACGAGCGAGCAGACCAGAAACAAGACCTTAGACCTGACCAGGGCTTGCAGACCAGACGAGACACGGGACAGACGGTGTGAAGGGTGTCAGTGAGAGAAGAGGAAAAGAAAAAAAAAATAATGAGGGCGATTGCTCGGGGGAGGAAAAAAAAAAAAGAGGGGAGGGGCGCGCCAGGAACCGGACAAGCTTGCGACGGCGAGGGTGAGTGTTGATAGCTGGGCAGTAGCTGGCGGAGGTAAGTGGTTCGACAGAATTGGAGATTGCTTCGCGGATGCTTCAAACGATTTTGGAAAATGGCATGACATGAGCTTTGGAGCGCTGCGGATGGAGTGAGAATGGGCTGATTTCGCGGATTATCTAAGTGTGGCAGGCATGCTTGTCCCCAGTATGAACGCCTTCCCATTGGACGAGCCCCTCCGAGCGGACGCCAGGGTCCAGCCGACAAGCCGCTAATCCTGTTTGGGAGTGCTCCAGAACGTGGCAGGTGCGTTCGACTTGATGCTTGCCCGCTGCGAGGTCTGAGGTCTGAGGTCTGAGGTCTGCACCTACCTTAGCCTCTTACCTACCTAGGTACCTGTCTACCAGTTAGAAGCATGGAATCAAGGTACGTACACGGCGGGGTGGAAGGCCGCACCGTTGATGAGGCCACTTTTAGCCTCGTTTTTGAACAACACCCGGCCTTAATTGGATGCTTCTTGTTACCATTTTGCCCTCTTGACGCCCCGGTCCAATTCTTTTGATTTCTTTACAAGACTTACAAGTACTGAGTTACAACTCCAACGTCAACAACACCCTGCAAGTGTATCTCGCGAGACGTCCTGTGCAGCTTCCAAGCTAAGTGGGCTGCGATTAGGTTCCTTCAGTGAGAGGGGGAAGAAGCACCACAATGGATCAGAATGGATCCTTTCGTTCCCTTCCTTTCCTTTCTCAGATGTTAGCTCGAGCAGCTCACACGAACGACAAACATGCCATGCGACCTTGCTGCATATTGCCAACACCATCACGGCATCTGACAGACTGCAAAACCCTCAAACGGCCGCCCTATCCCACCTTTCCTTAGTACACACTATACCTACCTTGTCCTGTCTGACCCCGTCATGTTCCATCATACCCTTAGCCATCCACTCTTCCTATCCCCCCCCGGGGCTAGGTCCGGCGAAGACGGAGAGGTTGGAAACGTGGAAACCCCCGATGCCGCACGCTCATCAACAAGCTCGGATGTTTGTTCCTGGTCTCCTCTGCAATAGCTACCGCATGCGGCTTTCCACAGAAGCAGCAGAAAAAAGACAATGGAACCCTCAAGACAATAACTATGCAGTACCTAGGGTAGGCAACCCACTGCATCATCCATCGTATGTACTGCGTATCCGCAGACGCTCATCTATTACTACGTACGGAACCTTCCATCCCAACGTCGCAGCACAGCATTTGACATGTCACTGTCAATATCCCTGGCGGGGCACTTTTCGTTTCTTTTTTCAACTTCTGACACCGGCTTTCCGCAACTTCCAGAGCCCCTTCCACGTCCCAACCTTCCACACCTCCCAATCCCTCCGCAACCCCCTTCCCACCTCTTCCTTGCCTGATGCATGCGCAGGACTTCTGAAGTCAAGAGCCCGACAGTCCAATCCCATCACATCATCATCACCACAGAAGTCTGCATATGTCTTCCTTCGCATGAGGTCGGTGGCACAGCAGTACAATAGCATGGTAAATCGCACGACATATGCCTACCCCTGATCCTATAGTGTGCTGCTCTTAGACTGCCGTCCTCAGTGCCTCATCCTCCTGGCGGACTCAACCTCTCCTAGTCGTTCGAAACCCTCACCTCTCTCTTGGCTTGTTGCTCTTCATGCGTGCGCCGTATGCAGTGAACGCAACACCACGGGGGATGCTCTCCAGATTTCCGATCTGACCCCACCCCAACGCCACGAACAGCAGACCCCCCGAGGATACCGCCAACCTGGTCGTCCCCGGGCTTGTTTCTGGAGCGTCTTAGTCACCAGCCACTCGTTCTTCTTTTTATCCCTCAACAGGCCAAGACACTACTACCACCATGCCGACCGCCTTTTTCTGACAAGATTGGCTGCTTGCTGCCCATGTTTTCTTTCTTGATCGACGTGGGTCCCCGCCCCAGAAGCCTGCCTCTGCAACCCGGAGCCGACCGTCGATTGCTTCGTCCCTGGTTACAGATTGAGCACCTGCTTCTTCCAAGGCAGAGAGGGGTTCAAACGCCACATGGCTCGCCTATCGATGCAGCTATCCCAACGCCCCGGCTCGATTGACACAATGGCATGGTTGTCTGCAATTCCCCGAGTGCAATAGAATGGCGTTTGCTTGGAGCACGGCAACTTTTGCCGTCCTCATGATGTAGGAGCTCAGGGGTAACGACCAAGATCATCGGACCTCAAGAGGGGCCTCGAAACGTGACTGCGTCCATTATTGGTGGTTGAAGACCGTTGAAGAAGTGTGAAGACGTGTGCTACCCCGGGTTCACAGGCAGCTTCCGCCCGTCATGCGAAAATGTGTCGTGCGAGGTTGAGGCAAACCATGTCGTTCGATACTGATTTTACCTTCAGCCACTCCAAAAGCTATCATTTTGTACCGCATGGTTAAAGTAGGAGACTCCGCACCGTATAGGTCTGCTGAGGACCTCGCCGGTGTAAGGACCATGCTCTGTGGTTTACAAGTCCTGGGTTCTTTTGAGATATACGATGAGAGGTGGGATTCCACACTAAACCAAGAGCAACGCGTTAAGCAGCTTTCAATAAGTCAGTCAGAGAAAGTAATCATGGATTCGTCAAGAGCTTCATGGTGTTATTTGCTGCCTTGAGCACCATCTCTACAGCATCGTCATCTTTCTCATGACCTTGGACATGCCTGCGTCTTCAGAAACTCAACCTTGACCTCTTCCTCACCACCAAGCACAAGATCGAAGCTCGTACTCCATCCGCTTGTCGCAAGCCCCGTCGTCCCCTCGAAAATGACATATTCCCCTCTCTCCTCACCCGTCGCCAACAAGTCGATAGTATCAACCTCCAACCCTCGCACAATGACACCCTGCCTCCTCACAAGGCGCGCGAGGTCCATCGTCACGGGGTCCGAAGCGCGCTCCTTGCGCACCGCCGCCGTGACGGTGAAGGCTCGCTCGTTGTTGACGCTCGTCCGGTTCACGCACGACTCGGACTCTTGGTACAGGAGCGCGTCGTCCAGCGGGTACCCGCTGCCGTCGTTTCTGTATATGGTTGTGGCATTGGTGGAGGGCGTGGTAAGATGGATGACAAACTTGCTGATGCCACGACTTGCGTCGACGGCCGTCGAGAACTGGTACCAGGCGAAGGTCTCTCCGTGAAGGCCGGTGCTTACGCCGCCCTCGTCGAGGGTCGTGGCTACCACGACGTCGCCGTCGCCGTTGCGGTCAGCATAAGTCAGGTGGACGGCCAGATCCGCGGTATCCCGCCCAGTTCCCTCCGTCGTCTGAACCCTGACCCAGCCACTGAGCGCGATACTCCCGTTCCCGCTCAGTGTCATACTGACATACGGCTTGATGTCAACCGCGTCGATGGGGTCAGTCAAGGTCACACTCGCGGGCACAGTATCAATCATCTTCGTGAACACGTCCGCGCACGCCGTCTTGAATCCATCCCCCGTGCGCCCCATTTCCGTGATCGTCTTGTTGCCATCGCTGCCAAAAATCCTCCTGTCCGAGTTAAGCGTCGCGTTCGCGTTCACGACGAGCGGGTTCGTCGTCGTCCCGTCGACATACTCCGTCGCCACGTTGCCGTCAAACACGTCAGAGGTGCTGTCGAAATGCACCACCGTGTCAGGCGTCGGCTCGAGGCCGACAATGTCGGGGTTGTTCCGGCTGTGCACCCCGCCGAGCGTGTGTCCGCACGCCACCAGAGAGATCATCTCCCCCTGGCCGAACCCGGCGCCGGCGAACCGCGCCATCGTCGTATTCAGCGGCGTGTGCGGCTCCGGCACGCCCGCGGGCCCGGCCTCCTGCGCGTCGACCCTGCCCGCGCGGAACGGCATCCGCGCGCCGCCGCAGCCGGCGTTGGCGACGACCACGCTCATCGCCAGGAGGTCCGCGGCGGAGGCCCGCGCGGAGTAGAGGTTCGCGAAGAAGCTGAAGGTGTTGTTGAAGGCCGCGCCGCCGTTCTCGGCGCGGTGGACCTCGAACCAGATGGAGCCGTCGAGGCCGCCCTCGCCCGCGGCGGCGTTCGTCGTGGCGACGTCGTGGAACGCGGTCCGGATCCACTCCGCGGCGAACTGGCGGCCGGCGATGTTGCCTCCGAAGGAGCAGGGAGTTACGCCTGTGAAGAATGTTAGACGCGGCTTTCGGGGCTCTCTCTCTCTGAGCTTGGAGTGGTCTTACCATCGACGAAGCCTCGACTGCGGTAGCCCGTCTGCAAGGAGAGAATGTCCTCGATCTCGTCGTACTGGGAAGGCCACACGTATGCAGCTTCCGCCGAGCGCATCAACGCCACGGCGCCGGCGATGACGACTTTGGCCTTCATCGCTTCGAACTCAAGGAGAGCACTCTCCAAACGAAAGTCAGATCAGAGCGAGCGGGCGGTGGAGGGGTGAGTTTCTCGTGCTGCCAAGCAGTCGCGCGAACGGCAGCAGCCGTGCTTTTAATATCCAACATCGTATTGGATCCCTCTTTTATTTTTTTCTCCTTCTCTTTTGGCGCATCGTCCAACGACGGACTGCTTTATTGACTCCATAGCCCATAGCGGCGGAGCGGATATTTTTTTGCCAAATATGCAGAGGAAAGGGAAAAGCCCCAGGCCGCCAAGCTTTCAAGATGGATGTGCTGCATCGGGTCCCTGGCCCAATGGAGCATCTCTGCCCGGCTGCGTCGTGGATCGCGGAACGGGCAGACGATGCGGTTGCGACTTTCTTCCCGCTTCCCGCATCCCCTCTCCTGCAGGGACTCAGGGACAAGGCATGGATGACCTCGTTATGTCGGACGATTCCGTTCGGCGTTGGTCCCGAAGAATCGAGGTCGGATCAAGATCAATGTTTTTTATTGAGCTAAAAATGATGACAATAGTTGGCAGACCCGCGCGGAATACCCGGTGGGTGATTATCAGATGCGAAAAAGTTATCTGATGGAGCAGGGGTCTAAATTAACGGCGGGGTTGTGGAGAGCCGCGAGTCGAGGGCTGAAGACAACGACGGATTGGGTGTGGTTCGGTGGAATAAGTTGGTCAATATCGTTCATCCCATGTCTCGTCGTTCTTGGACCGCCTATGCGCTGTCCCGGCGTTCTCTTATCCATGAGGAAACGCTGGATGTTCTTACAGTATGCTGGTGTTGTTTGGGACGATTAGAAGATAGCAGGCAGGTAAGGCAAATTGATGTAAGAAATGTTTATTAATCTCTAATTAAATCAATGATGAAGGGTTGGGGTTACAGTACCCAGCCTCTTGCCCCCGAACGCCCGCTCAATCCATGATGCTTGTTACAAAAGAAACATTGTTAATTATTAGTGGGAGTCCCAGCCAACAACCGTTCATATCATTAAGCTCATGCCGTCTTGTCAATCAACTTCTTCTCAAGCCAAGCTGCGAACGCAACTGCATTCGAGTCCACATATCGCTGAAAGAAGTCGGCCACCACAATGACACCGGGCAGGAAGAAGCAACTCGCCCAGAATACGCTCCAGAAGTACTGCCAAGACGTGGCGACTCCGGTGATGGACGTCATGAACTGCCAAGTGTGCCATCCATACATCCACAACATCGAGTTGTGGACCAGATACAACATGAATGAGATGCGACCGAGGTACTGTATCAACGGTCTGTTGAACATGCGCTGCAGGGAAGGGACCCTATCGATGGTGAAGATGAGAAGGATGGCACCAAGTGGAATCCAAAGGGAATCTCCGCTCTTGTATTGCTTGGGGGTGATGGCAGTCAGAGCCCTGTAGCCCGGGGTTGCGGCAGCATCGTTGACCAAGTGCGGGTACGAGAGCAGCCACAGCGAGAAGATGAATGCGGCGATGCCAACGACTTTCTTGAACTTTGGCAGGGAGGGCGAGGATGAGAGACTGTCGCGGCGGGATTGTATAGAGCTCCTGAAGTTGGAAAAGGTCGGCGAGCCGGCGATCATGGACTGGAAGCGAGCGAAACTGTCCCGTCGCAAGCTATTTGTCCATCTGGGGAGGGCGTTCCAACCGCCTTCACCTTCGTGAAATTCACCCGACGCCGGTTGGAAGTGGAAGTGAAGATCCGCAAGGAGAAGTCCGGCGAAGAACAGGAAGAACTCCCACATATTGAACCAAAGGGTGTAGCAGCTGACGAAAACATGGAAGAAGAGCCGGACGCCGGGGCGTAGTCTGGAGAAGGCGACGTGAGCGAGGAAGATGACCATTGAGCAGTCAAACTCGATGGGTATAGTCCAGAGAGCGGCGTCGTACGGAAAGTTGTTTCCCCTCCGAGTGTTTCGCGACACAGGGTTGGCGAATCCAACAATCTTAATGAACCAATGCTCTAGCTGACCATACAAAGTCCCGGCCACAGGCGGCCTCAACCTCGGGAAGATGAGTGTCTTCGGCCTCGCTCCATGCTGAAACCAACCCGCGTATGTCATGAGGGCAATGACGAGCGTTGTGACCGCAGGAGAGGCGAAGATTCTGATGTATCGGCGGAAGGCAGAGGAGGCCGCGGCGATGGCGAAGTCGGCCCTTCGGTTCTGAGATAGAAGTTTCATGGGCTTGTAGCTGAGGGCAAAGCCAGAGATGACGAAGAAAACGCACACGGCCCAATATCCAGACACGGCCAAGCGTATGATGGGTAGTTGGATGAACATGGGCTTATCATCGGATAGGTACCCCTTGTGCAGTTCGATGGGGTAAACGACGAGTGACCAATGGTGGCAGACGACCACGAATGACGCTATGCCTCGAAGGCCATCTGTAGATGTTGTTAGCGATGCTTTTCGAGATGAGTCCGATTAGGTAATTACCGAGCCATGCCGTCGGATGAAGCTGTTTTGGTGGTTTGGCTGGATCTGTAGGGTGCAGGAAGCTCGGGACGAAGCACCAAAGCAAGGCCTTTGGATAGCGAATCCAAAATGGCAGTGGCCGAGAAGGGACCGTAGGAAGTCGAAGACTGTCTCCTACGACAGGATTGTCATCTCTCAAGGGGATTTCCTCCTCGACCTCCACTCCCTGCTGGTCTTTCTCGTCAAATTGGTCGGCAGTCATCTCGTCGGGGGCCACTGAGACGTATGGCGTCCGAGCCTGGGCCTCTACCATGTTGCTGTCTTCATATCCAGTCATGGTCGTTGATTGAACTGGGGACCACCTATGTTCCTGTTGAGGCAACCAAAAGTCTCGGCCGGAGAAGTACTTGGGGTCTTTGGAAGATGTCTGAAGGCCGGTCCGAGAGTCATCTTATACAGCTCGTTGGAAAATGACATAAGTGAGATGCTTCTGTCGCATCCAGTCTCCATCCGATGAACCCGCAATGGGTAATGCAAGCCATCGAAGAAAAGCAAGCTCCTCCATTGGCTCATCTGCCACGGAAACTCCGCTGCCGCCTGCATCCGAGTGCAACAGCCAAGCGTATGAATCTAGACTCTTGACGATGGAGATAGATCGGCCTCCATGAGATCTATTCCGTCAGTTAAGCTGAGTGGCGCCGCACGCGGCTGGCAGTGACAGTCTCCCGTTGCACCCTAGTTCGTCATTGCTGCGTTACTACGCACAAGCTAGATGCATCGTTGTAGCTCTCATCTATGATGCACATCGTCGGCTCGAGCTGGTCGAGATCCGAGACGGCCAGGCCTCACAAATTGAGGACGTTTGCGGGTCACGAAGCATTCGCCGCTTTGGCAGCATGATGTCGCCCATTCAGAGAGCTCGTCTGCTCAAACCTGCCGCATTCGACGAGATGTCTCACTCCGCTAGATCTTAACGGTTGACAGTGGCGGCGATAATTGGAGGCTTCGGTTGTGTAACCGTAGTCACTGCTTAAATCGAGATGCTTTGGGCTTAAAACAGAGCCGCAATGGGTCCGGATCGTCGTTATGGCCGCAACTAACACCGATCTCAGCGACTTTCTCCAGAAACGGCAAGATGCAAATGACGCTTCAATTACGCCCGTGATCTTGCCTACCGACCTGCCCACTTCCACGACGCAGCTGAGATGAGTTTTCCAAGGATTGCTCTCCTCTGAGGAGGGTCTTGAAATCGGTGTGACACGCACCAGCAGAGTTGGGAAGAGGATGGCGGCATACACTTTGGAAGACGCCAAGAGAATGATTCCTCTCCATCCGCAACCGGATGCATCTACACCCTCGCATTTCTGTTGTGGCGTGAATGGATTCGAAAGTGGTCCATCCGACTTGGTTTGATGTCGCTGTATCTGGAAGGTCTGAGTGAGGCGTCGTAAAGTCCAGAATTCGCAATAAAGTGTGCAAGGCTTCTTTCTGTCTCACAACCATCCATCAAGCACGCGAATGGCTGTTGACGATCCATCACTATTCTCAACACAATGACTGGCCTGGAGGATCTTCACCCATTCATGAAATTTGTGACAACGTTCGTAGCGCCTCTTATCAAAGCGACTTATTACTACAGAGAGGCCCGATTGCATGAATTTTGGGATATGATGCCGTCAAAACCTGTAGCTTTCACGCGATGTCGGGCGGCGATAAGATAGCGCAGCGGCTTATCTCCGCATACCTACTTATCTTTAAACTTGACACGGTTTGTCATAGGCAACTTGGCCGAGCGGTCTAAGGCGCCAGACTCAAGCGATCAGCTTGATCCTCACAGAGGGTTAGCATTCTGGTCTCGAAAGAGGCGTGAGTTCGAATCTCACAGTTGTCATTTTTGCCGTTTGATCAGGTATCTATGGTATCTTTTTAGTGATTTCTTTCTAATCTCTACTAGCTACGAGGTGTATCGTCTGTCACCCCCGCACTGAGTTTTAGTCTTAAAGAACATGCGGCTATGACTTAAGATAAGGAGGAGGAGAGTAACTAGCTAGCAGCACTCACGGGCAAGCAAACCAAACGAGACTCAACTGAAGGTTCTGCAGCTGAGTATCCCTCAACGAATGATTCTTGGCGACTCTTTCCGGTATCAACGAGCAGTTGTGAGGCTCCTCCTATGTGGGTGGCCCTGTTAAACTCAGCGACGACAGCCTAAACTTGTGCAAATGCTATAGATCCCGCGCTCGCTACCCTTCCAGGTGCGATCGATCCGCTCCCCCACGAAGGTCAAGACGGAAAGTCGTCAAATGTCTCAGATCACCAATCGTGGTGAACACAGCGGGGTCTCACTTGAATACGGCTGTGCGTGTGGCTTTGTCGGGCCGTCCGGTAGTAACTCAATTACCTCACGGAGATATCAGATGTCTCACGCACGGTATCTTGGTGTAGTTGCCCGAACTCTTTTCCGGTGCGAAGTGATTATCGCCTGAGAAACCTCCTTCCCGAGCTGAGTTTCTCGCGAGCTCTCATGGTTCATATTGCTGTCTTTTTCGGTTGGTAAAGACCACGCAGTAGGTGCATTGACAGTCCCTTACTGTGTGTCCCTCGTCAAAGCATAAAGCCTCCAACCCCAATCGTACAATATGGCAACATACTCAACGATTCGTAAAGCGAATGGATACCTTACACTATCAGATCGTACAGAAAAGGAGGGTGAGGGTTGCTAGGTCCAGACCACATGGAAGTAAACCTCCGGCTGAGAAGGGTGAGAGTGCCCCTGGCGATCTGATTGCCTCTTTAAATATAAGCATTCAGGATTCAAGCAGCCACTGCTGAATTTACGGATGCGGTGAATGCAAAGGAGAGTCAAGCCTAGTCCAAGCTGGAAGTGCCCCTGGTCTGTTGAAGGGAAGGAGCGGGAATCGAGACATTAAAGCCTGCTTCAGAGGTCACCAACGTTACGGAGCTTGGGCAGTTCCTCTTCAAGGGCCTAGGGTTTCCCTAATCTCTTCAAGAAGGCTCAGACTTTCTTAGCCGGTTCTTAGCTGGCAAGTCACTCTGGATACTGGCTTTCCAGGAGGTCGTAGAAAACGTTCTCTGTTGGTATCCGGAAGGGTCATTTGACGATTTGCATCAGCATCGAGGGCTCTGACACTATCTCAAGGTCTGTTTGTGGTTCCTCATAAATTGATACAGTAGCACAGCACATCTCATTTTTGATCTCATTCTCTGCGCCGTTCTCTGCGCCGTTCTCTGCACTCGATGTCCCTGTGGCATTCTCTCAAATCTCGGCAGCTTCAAACTTGACAAGATTCCACCGCACTATTCTAGGAATTGCCCCTAGCTAACGCCAGCAATGCGCACTCACTCGTTTCGATTCACGGTCCTTTTTCCCCGGATATTGATGCCAACGCATGCGACCCGTTGAGGCACTCGTCCCCGGCCCGGCAGTGGGTTCCTGAGCCCTCGAGCCCGCTCCGGAGAGCATCCACATCCACAAATGCGGACACCAACCCGGTCGGTTAGCTCAGTTGGTTAGAGCGTGGTACTAATATGTTATCTGACATGTTCAGTAATGCCAAGGTCGGGAGTTCAAGCCTCCCACTGATCATCCTCTTTTGCCTTGTGAGCTTAATAGTACACCTATTTTTGCCCTTCTGCAGGTTGCATTCAAAATGAGGGAACGTTCCTTTACCAAGACGACATTTTACTTGACTGAATAAGATCACTAGGTAGTGAGTCATAGTAAGATATTGACTTACCTATGCAATATATATGACAGGGCGTAGAAGTCTAGAATGTCAGTGCTGTTACTTGTCTCGTTCTTTGGTGCCCATCTCTCTCATAGCGATAGCAAGCAATCAACCTTCCCGGCCTCAAGCTATTTATTGATCGAACGTTGAGGCCCTAAAGAGAGAAGCATCTTGCTTGGGTCTTGCATTTAGCAGATCATAATGACCTGAAGCGCCCAAATGGAACTCATGTCAAGTCATTCGTGTTGCCGTCACTGGTATTGATAGAAAAGTCTCCAAGTTAGTTGACAATCTGAACCTCGAACGCACGTAAGACCAAACGTGTTACTCAGCACCACATACTCAACCAGTCCCGGTCTTTTTGTAAATCGAATCAACAGACGTGATGGCAGAGAAAGTAAATATGAGCCCGACTAGCATGCAATACAGATCTGCCGATTAAGTCAATGATAATTATGAGGTAGCGTGCTATACGCAAAAAGCATCGAAACCCCAGCTATTAACATACAGACTGAAAGAAGGAAACTGTTGCGTGTGCCTCTCCATGATTGACCAAGCTAAGACCGCACTCGTCATTGAAGATGAAGTCATGTTGTGTTTTACACTCGCAATTCCGCGTGGTGCCATGGTGCCGGGCACTATTTTACGTGAGGTGTAAATTGAAACTTGTATTCGACACATAAGTATGAAAGCCAGCTGGCAAATAGACTGAACCAACCCGGCGGTAGATTGACCTCGAATATGAACGTCCAAGGAGCACACGTTATTGTCTCGATGGCGATCTCTTCACTGTGATCCCATGATAGACGATATGCGCCGCGTGAGAATTCATCAGTACAGCTTCCGGCTGCTTTCAGGATGAGATCTATTTCTCATGACCAATCAACAAAGCTGATTCTGTTGATGCATCTCCGCATGTGAGTATCTACCAGTTGCATATCGCCTTGGTTATTACTAGTGCTTAGAATGGCATTCTGCTGCCCCAGCCTCACGGAGAAACTTGGAAAAGGGAACCACACATATCGAGGAGGCGATGGCAAGTGTCATGGAGTCCCGATCAAATAAATCGAGCACTGGTCACATGACTGTGACGACTGAGAATTAAGACACGGCCTGATATCCAAACCGGCACACTGACGTCGTCCACGATGAACAGCAACATCTTTTCTCATACGAGACTTACAGCAATGCGAGCACGTTGGATGCGTGTATAATCCCGATTTTGTCTAGGAACGCCAAACTCCACTCAATGACTCCAAATGACGCATTGAGCTTGTAAGTTGGCTTCAAACGAAGCCATCATGATGCGGATTCCTCTCATAGCTTACTTGTCATTGCTCAACATCGTTACGTCATAGGTACCATCACAACACCCCTCAAGAAGCCTCACAGGCAAGAGGTCATTCTATGAGCCCGGCCCTGTAAACGGCCGTCGTTGCAAAGCACTAAAACAACAGTCGTCATTCCAAATGCGAACATACCATAGCACCACCATCACACAACCCCATCCCTGACGATCGCCAGCTACTTCCTCACCAACGGCTTGATACCAACCCAAACCTGCGACCAACACCACAAGCCGCCTGAA